TCGAGAGAGAGAGAGAGAGAGAGAGAGAGAGAGAGAGATGACAGTTGTGTGTACCTGCGTGCTGCGTCTGCGCGTCTCTCTCTACAAACAATTACTTCAAAAACAGCCATTTTACCATCGTAAATTGAAAAGAATTGGAAAAAAATGAAAATTTGGTACATTTTAAAGTTACGTTATTCTATCTAATGCACTTTGAGAGTTCAGAATGAAGAGCTGCAACCCATGTTTGAGAAAACTTTAATTGGATTATGTTAAGCCATGATATTGCTTAGTGAACAATATATTTTTATGTTTTGTATACTCGCTTATATTTTTTATACAATATTTATATTTTATACAATATTTATGTATAGTATAATATTTATTTTATACAATATTTATATATATTTTATATCTATATTAAAATATAGTTCAATGCATTATTTAAAATATACCTAAAATTATACAAATATGCTAAAATGCTTTTTAATAGGAAATCACTGGAATAACGTGTACCCATGAAATGCTCACAGTAGAGAAATTAAGAAAGTAAATGGAGATAATTTATTCAGATAATGTATCTGAGCAGGTTTGACTCTGGTTGTGTGTGTTTTGCTGGTGTTCAGACGGAGCTAACTGGCTGGGCTCGTTCTGTCAGCCGGTGCGCAGCTGGAACGGGCTGCTGCTGCGGCGGCCCATCGACATGGAGAAGCGTGACCTGATCCAGAGAGGAGAGGCCAGTCTGCTGGACCTGCGCAGCTACCTGTTCTCCCGCCAGTGTACCCTGCTCATCTTCCTGCAGAGACCCTGGGAGGTGACGGCTCGCGCGCTCGAGCTGCTGCACAACTGCGTGCAAGAGCTGCGGCTGCTGGAGGTGTGTGTGTTTTACCGCCGTTGACACGGTGCTAGCTGTGGGGCATGTTTCAGGTGTTTTTGGGAAGTGTTTCAGGTGTTTTGGGGTGTGTTTCAGATGTTTTGGGGTGTGTTTCAGATGTTTGGGCAGTGTTTCAGACTTTTTTTGGGGCGTGTTTCAGTCGTTTTTGGGGCGTGTTTCAGGTGTTTTGGGGTCTGTTTCAGATTTGTTTGGGCAGTGTTTCAGCCGTTTTTGGGGCGTGTTTCAGTCGTTTTTGGGCCATGTTTCAGGTGTTTTGGGACGTGTTTCAGATTTGCTTGGGCAGTGTTACAGCCGTTTTTGGGGCGTGCTTCAGCCATTTTTGGGGCATGTTTCAGATGTGTTTGGGCTTTGTTTCAGGTGTTTTTGGGGCATGTTTCAGATGTGTTTGGGCAGTGTTTCAGGTGTTTTTGGGGCATGTTTCAGATGTGTTTGGGCTTTGTTTCAGGTGTTTTTGGGGCATGTTTCAGATGTGTTTGGGCAGTGTTTCAGGTGTTTTTGGGGCATGTTTCAGATGTGTTTGGGCTTTGTTTCAGGTGTTTTTGGGGCGTGTTTCAGATTTGTTTGGGCAGTGTTTCAGCTGTTTTTGGGTCTGTTTCAGATGTGTTTGGGCAGTGTTTCAGCCGTTTTTGGGGCGTGTTTCAAATTTGTTTGGGCAGTGTTTCAGCTGTTTTTGGGGCCTGTTTCAGATGGGTTTGGGCAGTGTTACAGCTGTTTTTGGGGCGTGCTTCAGCCATTTTTGGGGCGTGTTTCAGATTTGTTTGGGCAGTGTTTCAGCTGTTTTTGGGGCCTGTTTCAGATGTGCTTGGGCAGTGTTTCAGCCGTTTTTGGGGCATGCTTCAGCCATTTTTGGGGCGTTTCAGATTTGTTTGGGCAGTGTTACAGCCGTTTTTGGGGCGTGCTTCAGCCATTTTTGGGGCATGTTTCAGATGTGTTTGGGCAGTGTTTCAGGTGTTTTTGGAGCGTGTTTCAGATGTGTTTGGGCTTCGTTTCAGGTGTTTTTGGGGCGTGTTTCAGATTTGTTTGGGCAGTGTTTCAGCTGTTTTTGGGGCCTGTTTCAGATGTGTTTGGGCAGTGTTTCAGCTGTTTTTGGGGCATGTTTCAGCCGTTTTTGGGGCGTGCTTCAGCCATTTTTGGGGCGTGTTTCAGATTTGTTTGGGCAGTGTTACAGCCGTTTTTGGGGCGTGCTTCAGCCATTTTTGGGGCATGTTTCAGATGTGTTTGGGCAGTGTTTCAGGTGTTTTTGGGGCATGTTTCAGATGTGTTTGGGCAGTGTATCAGACGTCTTTGGGCGTGTTTCAGCCATTTTTGGGGCATGTTTCAGACGTTTTTGGGGCGTGTTTCAGACGTTTGGGGCGTGTTTCAGGTGTTTTGTGACATGTTTTAGACATTTGGGGCCTGATTCACGTGTTTTGGGACGTGTTTCAGGTGTTTTTGGGGCGTGTTTCAGACATTTGGGCATGTTTTGGGGCGTTTCAGGTGTTTTGGGACATGTTTTAGACATTTGGGGCCTGATTCAGGTGTTTTGGGGCGTGTTTCAGACATTTGGGTGTGTTTTGGGGCATGTTTCAGATATTTGGGGCGTGTTTCAGATGTTTGGGGCCTGCCCTGTGTTTGTGGCGTGTTTCAGGTGTGTTTCAGACATCTCTGGCGCATATTTCAGCCATGTTTGGGGCGTTTTTGGGCCGTGTTTCAGACGTGTTTGAGGCATATTTCAGGTCTGTTTCAGACATGTCTAGGGCATATTTCAGACATTTTTGGGCCGTGTTTGGGGCATGTTTCAGACATGTTTGGGGCATATTTCAGGTGTGTTTCAGATATGTTTGGGGCATATTTCAGACATGTCTGGGGCGGTTTTGGGCCGTGTTTGGGGCGTATTTCAGGTGTGTTTCAGACATGTCTGCGGCGTATTTCAGCCATTTTTGGGCCGTGTTTGAGGTGTATTTCAGGCGACTCTGATGCATGTGTGTGCTGCAGGTGTCTGTGGTGAGCGGTGCTCTGGAATGCTGGGTGTTTCTCAGCTGTCTGGAGGTCCTGCACCGGATAGAGGGCTGCTGCGACCGCAGCCAACTGGAGGCCAACACCTCCCACACCGTGGGCCTGTGGACCTACGCCACGGAGAAGGTACGGATCACACATGGCTAACACACTCGAAGGCATGTGACAGTGGCCCGTTTGGGCTTATTTCTTCATTCATGTGTGATTTTATTGGCAGCTGAGGTGTCTGGGTGATCTGTGTGGTCTGGTGTCCGAGAACGGCCCGAACTCTGAGGACCTGAACAAGACCGTCGACCTGCTGGCTGGTCTGGGAGCAGAGAGACCCGAAACGGGTAATTATGATGAAATAACGCATAATTTTCCATTATCCTTATTGTATGAGGTGTTTGATACTACTCAAATTTATCAACTGTTATATACATACACACACATATGTGTAATATAAATATATTTGAACACACACAAGAAGTCTCTTCTGCTCATCGAGGCTGCATTTATATGATCAAAAATACAGTAAAAATTGTGAAATATAATTACAATGTAAAACAGCTGTTTTCTATGTGAATATCTGTTAAACTGTAATTTATTTCTGTGATCAAAGCTGTATTTTCAGCATCATTACTCCAGTCTTCAGTGTCATGATCTTAAGAAATCATTTCATAATCATATTTTTGTGGAAACTGTGATGCACAACATATTCATCAAGGCTGCATTAAATTGATCAAAAGTGACAGTAATGACATGTTTTTATAATGTCACAAAAGATTTCTATTTCAAATAAAAGCTGTTCTTTTGAACTTTTCTATTCATCTGTGAATCCTGAAAAATAAAATGTCTCACAGTTTCCACCAAACTATTGGGCAGCACAACTGTTTTCAACATTGATAATAATCAGAAATGTTTCTTGAGCAGCAAATCAGCATATTAGAATGATTTCTGAAGATCATGTGACGCTGAAGACTGGAGTAATGATGCTGAAAATACAGCTTTGATCACAGAAATAAATTACAGTTTAACAGATATTCACATAGATAACAGCTGTTTTAAATTATAATAATATTTCATAATTTTTCAAGTATTATTGGTCAAATAAATGCAGCCTTAATGAGCAGAAGAGACTTTCGAGAACATTAAAACTCATAACTATTCTAAGCATTTGACTGGTAGTGTATATATAAATAAGACTCATCACTAATGAGGAGATTGATGAGCAGCTCACAGATGTGTGTTGATTGTGTTTCAGTGGTTAAAGCGAGTCTGTAATGTGTTTGTAATCTCCGTGTCTCAGTGAACAGTCCTCAGAGTCCGTATAAGAAGCTGAAGGAGGCGTTGTCGTCTGTGGAGGCCTTCGAGAAACACTATCTGGTGAGTGTTCGGTTTCTGTGGTCTGTGAGTGTTTATTTTAGTGCTGTGATTACTGGGTTTATTTTTGCTCGTGGTTTGTGCGTCTGATCAGGAGCTGTCTCACGCCGCTATGGAGATGTATAAGGCGATCGGGCGGCTGCGTTCTGCTCGGCTGGTGGGGAAGAGTCTGGCCGAGTTCTACATGTGAGCACGATTTAACATCACAGAAACACGTGTGACTCAGAGTGTATTTGTGTCGATTAAATGTGACCCTGAAGCACAAAACCAGTCATAAGGGTCAATTTTTTGAAATTGAGATGTATACATCATCTGAAAGCTGAATAAATAAGCTCTCCATTGATGTATGGTTTGTTAGGATAGCACAATATTTGGCTGAGATACAACTATTTGAAAATCTGGAATCTGAGGGTGCAAAAAAATCTAAATATTGAGAAAATCATCTTTAAAGTTGTCAAAATGAAGTTCTTAGCAATGCATATTACTAATCAAAAATTAAGTTTTGATATATTTACAGTAGGAGATTTACAAAATATCTTCATGGAACATGATCTTTACTTAATATCCTAATGATTTTTGGCATAAAAGAAAAATTTATTATTTTGACCCATACAATGTATTGTTGGCTATTGCTACAAATATACCTGTGCTACTTATGACTTTTGTGCTCCAGGGTCACAATTGTGTGTGTGTGTCTGTGCGTGTGCGCGTGCGTGTGTCTGTGCGTGTGTGTGTGTCTGTGCGTCTGTGTGTGTGTGTGTGTGTGTGTGTGTGTGCGTGTGCATGCGTCTGTGTGTGTGTGTGTCTGTGTGTGTCTGTGTGTGTGTGTGTGTGCGTGCGTGCGTGTGTGTGTGTGTGTG